ACCTGCAAAGACCAGTTCAACAAAACCGTAGTGACAGGTACAGTACGTGCATTTGATGCAGTTTGTGTAGCTTAAACTGGTGATGTTGCACCTGAATATGCCTCTACAGAATCACACCAGTGATGAGGTGATGTTCTCTTACATCAATCTGAAAGCATGTTTGAGGAGTGAGTCATGTGCAGTATGTGGAGATTTTGACTTTACACTTTAATGTGCAGAACAGCAGGTTTGGTGGAGAGAATTCCAGATTTATGTCTCAGCATTATGTGAGTGTGTTGGCAGTGAGTTGTCTAATTAAATGTTAAATTAAAAAGTTCAGCTCTCGCCCTGGTCGTGCTGCAGAAAGCTCCAATTTCTTCCTCCCAATCCAAACCCAGGCCATTATCAACTACTCCACTACTTGCTGTCCCTTACACTCTACCAGAATACAAAATAAAAGTCTGTCACAACACCGTTAGTGCTCAGTTGCAGAATACTAGACAGAAAGCGTTCAAGGTTTAGCCAGTGTTACGTGTTCTGAACAAGTCACAGGAGACAACACGAATTTTGTTTAATTTAGTCATTGTTAATTAACCAGATAAAAGATGCACCAGCCGCCTCCACAGTCCAAAGTTTGTTGTGTTTGTGATTGTTTGGGATGAGAATAACATTCAGTGTAATGTGTTAGTCATTACATTTGTATATTGCAGTTTAAGGGCCAAGAAAATGTCCCAGCAGTGTCCACGCCTGACACCAGGACTATATTTAGACAAACTAAGATGCAGTTTTACACCATTAAAATCAGCCTGTGTCGCTTTAATGTTGACAAAAGCCACAATAACAATACAGTTAACACAATTTGCACACTAGTAAATGTCCATTTGATTCTGTAACTTCAATATCAGTGCAGGAACATCAGGAGTTATATGTTGATGTTTTGGTTTATTGTTCCTGGGTGAGCTCACACAGCCTCAGTATGAGCCTGAGCTGTTTGGAGAAATCTTTCTGCTTTAGGTCGAAGGAGCCCAGCAGCTCCTGTAAGAGGGAAACAAATTGCTATTGCACACAGGAGCAGATCATGTGAGCTCACTCAAGCTGTTATTAGTAATAACTTGATAGTTGATATCTCTTTTGTTTATGCCGAGAGGAGGGGGGATGTTCTGTCCAACACCATGTCTCAGATGAGGCCTGGGCACAGTCACACTGGCTCATATTGTTTGAGTCAATATGTTGGCCAGTTGCACAGACTGATTTTGAGTAACTTGGACACTGTATCTGTATCTGTGTGTGAACCAAATAGCAGGACACACTCGTGCATACTCATACTACATCTACTAATATGATCATTCTAGATATCTGGATCTTGATTGCTGTGAGTCGATACGTCTGATCGTTCAGTATCACATCAACCTGTCATCATGGTTTAGACAGAGAACACATACGGCCAAAGATTCTGATTAACAATAATCAAAAGCAGGCCTTTGAAGCGCGCACCTGTTCCATGTTGTCTGACTGAAGAGCCTGCGAAGGGACAAACTCGACTCTCTCACAGCGTCTGTCCTCTGCGCTGATAGAGACCTCAATTTGCCATCACAGAGAAGGAGCAATAAAAAGAGATGACAACACTGACAGACACTTACAAGCAAGCAGAGACGTGCTCTGCCTGAGTGTCTGCCTGCCTGACTGTGTCTTTTCTTCTCCCAGCAAAAGCATTTGATGGACAGGATGAGGTATAATCTAACTGAGTGAGGAGCAGATTTTCACATCATGGAAACGGTTTTCTCTGATAGTTGGTTTCACAACGAGTTGGGAGCGAGTTCAATGCAAACCACCTTGGACCGAACCCAAACTAGATTCAAGTCTTCCCCCGTGTTGACTGCTCCGCTGATCGTCACATTATTAGATAAGGGAGTTCCACTCTTAAATTTTCGTGGACAAGTTGCTGGCCTACTTTTATCTGTCCCAGCCCGGGTTATCCATCCTGACCTGACTTTACTTCTGAACAATAACCTTTACTTTACATAGGACTGTCAGTGGGAGAACAACCCTGAGCAGCACAGCCAGCCATTGAAACAAAAATAAAGATAAAGAATGCACATGTAATCCTGCACAAAGGATGAGAAAAAGGGACAAAGAAGCTGCAGCTGACATTTAATAGATACGTAAGAGAAAGAGAAGTAGAAAAAGGCTGACAAAGACAAAGAGAGAAAGAACTAAACACCGTTACTTTCCCTCACCTCCTCCTTTCTCTGTGCAAAGTTTTCTGATGAATGAAGACAAATAGAAAAAGCAAACAGATAAAGTGTGGAAAGGGGGGAAAAAGAGAAAGAACAAAGTGAGAGAAACTGATGCAAATCTACAAAGAGAGAGCAAAAACCTTACACAACAGGTCATGAAAGAAAAGAAGACCACATTGTTGTTATTAGATTAATTGTTACTCGTCTTTGCTCGCAGTTGTGTCAGTGTCATACACCAGGCTGCTGAGCAATTCATCAGGGAAGACGGAGCCCAGGCAGGCTTGTACACACACACACACACACACACACACACACACACACACACACACAAACACACACACACACACAAACACAACTCATTGTTTGTCTGAGAGGACATGATGCTCACAGAGTTGTAATCCTGGAAAAATTGCTCAGGGACCTGTTTTTGCTGCAACTGCGCAGCTGTGTGTGTGTGTGTGTGTGTGTGTGTGTGTGTGGGTTTGCCTGCCAAGCCTGCCTGAGAGTGTGTAGCTTCCCTGGAGAGAGTGAACACTGTCTGCCCTCATATTCTTTCAGTCAGTCAGTGTGGGGCAGCTTGTGTGCAACACTGCACATGCAGCCATGATGCTGCAACCTGGGCTCTTCTCTTTCACTGTCCAACTCGCCTTTTCTACTACAGCTTCTCTTAACTTCTGTATCCTTACAGGTTAGGGGGAAGTATTTAGTTCACTAATGTTACCCAGGGTAGGGAAATACACTGTAACATACACTCAGAGGCCACTTTTTTGGTTCACTTGAATACTCTAGTTCTGCCATAAATTGTACCTTTACAAAGTTCATAGTGCTCTGTTTCTGTTGACAGAAATGTGTAGTCAGTTCCCTCTCGTTTATTATACATGTATCAAATGTCTCCGAGCATTTTGCTGCCCTTGAAAGTTTCAAGCCTCTTACATCTCTGATCACGTCCAGCATCAGTCGTGGATGTGTTCAGAGATGTGCTCTGTTTCACCTGTGACCACACCCAACAGTAAAGTCACAAGGTCCTGGGGGACACCTGTCCATCACTGCAGCAAGGTGACAAGATAAAACCGCTGGGGGTCGGCAAACACCTGATTTTCAGGGGGTTTGATTTTCTGAGTCTGTCCAGTTAAAACCTGTTTCCCACTCTGAGATGCTTCATAAACACATGTTCTGGCTGAGCTCATTCTGAATTGAACACATGAGTCCACTCTAATAATATATGTGTAAAGTAAATAGTGTGTGTAGTGTGGTCCATCTAAATGCAGCTCCATTGCCCACGACCCAGGGACGGACTTTGTGGACCTGCAGTGACAGCAGCGATGGTCATTTCAGTGTGATACAGCCACAGTTTATGGTTCATAACCCTCATTAGCTCTGCTAACAGCAGTTTGAATGGAAGATTGTAAAAAACAAACAAACAAACAAACAAACCAGCATATAATTTGGTCCAATATGAGCTGCATAAGTGTTCATAAAGCAGCTGCAGGTTTCAGTTCACTGGTTTGAACTGAACAAATGATGCTGTAATATCCAGACGGCAGCGGAATAACAGAGTGGACAGAGAACCGTAGTTTTTCAGAGGATAAATTTACTCAACAACAAAATAGAGTTTTAATGTACATTCAGCTCTTGACATTATATTAAAGGCATGAGCTGTAATTCCCAACAAATATGACACACTCACACTGAGGAATTCAATCATCAGCACAGTGTTATTACCTGATACTAAGTTAGCTGAACAGTATCTAAGTCTTCTGTTTTATTACATTTTTAATCTACTGGGTACACAACTGTCTTCTCTTTGTCACTTTCTTTCAACATCTGCTTGAATCAAATGAAAATGTTTCATAACCCAGGACACAACTTCTGCACTGTACAAGCAAACATCGTTTCTGAGGCAGTCTCTAAAACAGACAACAAAACTGCATCTTCTAATGTTTAAATTGCAGGGGTCAATATTGGAGTTTTGAATTGTTTTTTATTTGGTTATTTAATTTAAAGCCACATCCAACAGCTTTCATATAATTTAGTTTTACTTCCATATGTAAAGTTGTCACAGTGAGATTCCCCAACATCTGCTGAATCAGCTGGCATTGAAGTAAAGATACCATCCTATGAGCTTGATATATTATCATAACCATTTATTAAACCTGCATTAACCGCGGGGGCTTGTCTGTGTATTTGATTTCGTCACATTTGGAGTAAATATATATATATATATATATACACATACATACATATATATATATAAAACATTTTGTAACCATTTTAGCAACTGAATGTGGACAGTGGAGGCCACATGTGAACAATTTAGTTGTAGCAGAAACTAATGTAGGCTATAATTACATTATGTCAATAATTTAATAGGTGAAGGGCGGCGTTTTTCCAGTGTGCTCTCTCTGTCTGTCTCTCTCTCTCTCTGTCTCTGTCTCTGCTCTGAATGAAGTTAAATGAGGTTAATAAGGTTTATAATGAAAAGAAATCAAACATCTGATTATTGATGGCCATTATCCAAGACAAACTCAATGTAGAAGACAAAGCTGGCAGCAGCAGTGTGGACATGCACGAGTGCGAACCGCATCAGTTCAGCGAGGTAGCTATCACGAACATGCAACGCAGGCAGTGTGTCCCGAGTGCCAGTGTCTGTCTGAGGTTTATGAACAATGTGATTTTACATTTTTAGACCCAAGAAGCATCTTTAACACAGCAGACAGTGTTGAGGGTGAACCCAGGCTTCCTTGTGCAAACGTGGAAGTTTTCCCCACTCCCACTTTAACTCACCTGTCTGATGGCGCACAGCAGCTTCCCATAACAGAACACGATCACCAGGAACGGCACGATGAGGCAGAACACAAACAGGCAGATGATGTAAGAGATGTTATTCGCTGTCTTGGCCGTCCAGTCGACAGAGCATGTGGTCCCTGGACCTTCGGGGCCATAGTGGCTCCAACCTAAGAGCGGCGGCAAAGTCCAGATGAGGGAGTAGACCCAGGACAGGGCGATGCCCAGGGAGATCTTACGGTAGTTGGAGGGGTCTGCCTCAGTGGGGGCCATCATGGTGCTGTAGCGCTCATAGGAGAGGACAGCCAGGGAGATGAGGGACACGATGCCTACAGCGGGAAAGACAGGCACACACATACGTATGTAAGCACTACATAGCCAGCAGTCTACAGAAGGAGTTAAAAACAAAGTACATGAGCAAGATATAACACTGAGGACATCACGAGCAGGTTTGTTCTCCCTTTTTACACCCTGACAACTGTACATCACATTTAATGAGGCCATCAGATGCAGGCAAAATGTGCTGTCTGTCCAAATGTTTATCTACTCTAGTGAGGAAAACACGCTGTTAGTGTGATATAGAGCCACATAGCTCTCTGTGAAATCACAAGTACAGCTGAAATGAGCTTTATGGTTTATTGCTTCAAAAGGAGGCCGGGTTATGACTTTAAAAAATAATTGCTTGAGTGAAATGTGCAGCGTAATGAAACTATAGCAAACACAGTGGTGTAATCATCTAATATTTCAGTTCACATGCCGGGGTTTGCAGCAGATACACGCAGCTGTATATCATAGACAGTGGCGCTACCTGTAGTGTCTCTGCTTGAAGCAGTGCAGTGGAATACAACACAAAAGACTTCAAGAAGATTCTTTTTTTCTTGATATCTCAGTGTTTTTCTTTCTCAGTATTTCAGAGGCAGAGCAGCAGGAGCCTGGAGCTCAGTGTTCATGCTGACCCCTCAGCCTTTTTATCCTGTTAGCTATTTGTTTTGAAGCCATTATGATCTGCAAGGCCGTCCTTCATGCCCATTGATTTTCAGTTTGCAATGAAGTGGACCTAAAGTGGATGCTCCTTTAGGAAAATGGTTCAGACCTTTCTTTAAGGTGCCAAAGACATGACTACTCAGCACAAGGAATGAATAGAGGTAAAACATTGAGGAGGGGAATGTAGGAGGGGGGAGGGAGTTAGAAAAATGAGGCAGCAGACTGAAACTGATTCCAGCTCTGTGAAGGTTTTTGTGTCCGTCTGTGTGCACCTGCATTAGCGCTGCCTGCAGTCTCTTTGGCACAGCGTATTATGCTTGTCTGTTGCCCCCAGGTATTGCGGTCATGTTGTTTTTCCTGCACAGACTGCTTAGCTCCGTTCTTTTATTAGCTCTGTTACTGCAATATTACAAAGTCAACACAAGTTTTACAACAACCCACTTGTGCTTCTGTTTGATGTGGGCTGACTTACTCATAGCAACCAACCCCAAACATATTTCCCACATATTTTTTGACAAAAGATGTTTTCATCTCAGCACATCATCACTCCATCTCCTCCAGCCTGCCACTCCTCCCATGTCATTCTCTGGCTACACTCTGAAGTTTAAAAGGAAACAGCAGGAGGACTGTCTTCACACAACAGGTGTACTGGCTGGTGTTACATTAAAGCTCAAGCCTTTGTGATAGCGTTTCTAGCTGGGTGTCATCAGTAAACAATGGTGTAGTGCCAAAGCACCGACAAAACTACAACTGCTAGAAATAGCCTTTATCCCACTGTGTTTTAGAGCAGAGACTGAAAGGTAGACTACAACTGTTTCAAATTGTGATTATTTCTGATTGGTTGATGAATAGCAGTGACTTAAAATAATCTTTTCTGACAGCTACCCTGGTTCCTGTCAGTAGGTCAACACATGGATCCATTAGCAGCAGTACTTCGATTGCTGCCTGCCGAAAAGTTTAGTGGTAAAATGAATCTAATCGTGCGGTAAAGTGACAGCAAACACATTTTTTTTTAAAAAAGAAACTATTTTCACAAGAATCAAACAAAGACTTTTGTGAACTGTGACTATTATTTGTCGGGCATAAAAGCGGAAGTAGTGAAAAGTTTAATGTGACTGCAAGTCAGCGGGGATAAATGTGTCAATGTGTGTGTAAATGTGTCGAGAAAGCACTTGACTTTAAACCTCCCACATTTTATACTTTTACTGGTGTTTTATTCAAAGTGTTGACCCATAAGAAGATGTATTTGTGGTTTCAAGAACCAAAAACCATCTCGATGGAGTTTTACATCTCCTCTCTCAGACTTCTCTCTAGTAACAATCGGTCAATGAGCCAATCAAAAGAGAGGAGGCTCTTATGATTGGCTGACTGTTTTCTGAGAGATCCAATAAAAAAACTGAACATGATAAAATGAAAAAAATGTGTTGTTTTTTAAGGCAATGACACATTCTGTCGTTTGATGGAGCTGAGTTAAATTCTCTCTTTGCCGGGATGCACCGTGTAGTTTTGCAAGGATAGTGTTTTCTCTTCCAGTCCCAATTCTGGTTCCTGAACCTGGTGCATCCTGCTGATACCAAGGTGCCAGTCCAGTACAAGTCTGCCTATTTCCTTCATTTAAAATCTTTATACCTCGCTGGGATCATTTTAATGTGAGGTAGCATGAGGCTAGGGAGTCGGTGTATGAATGCAACTGATGACAAAAACTGAATCGGAAGTTACATCAACAATGAAACTGTATTTAATGTGGATCAGCCACATCTGATCAATACCTGAAATGCCCAATAAGGTCAATATTGGCACCAATACCGATCCAGGGAATTGGATCTCTGCTTTCCTAATGGTATGCGCAAAATAATGCACTCCCAGATTTCCTGATATGTAAAATAACAGACAGGCAAAACAGAGGCAAATAATGCTAGAACATGAATAACTATATGAATTATACTGTATGCGGACTTCCATCCCAAAACCCAGGTGTGGCGCATGTGGTGTGGCACATCGTTGACATGACAGACCGATAATATCTATAAATGTCTACCATGTCCACGTCCAGCTTTGAACAAGGAGCCAAATCGAATCACACTTTCCCAAATTTGCTAATTAGCAGCTGTGCTCCATGACTCCCATATAGAGGAAAATGTAATACTGGCAATCATCATGTTGCTGAAACAGCTGACAGCAGTCCTCTGGCCTCAGGCTCTTCAAAACTGTTGTACTTGATTATGTTTTATCACTTTTTAAAAACTAGATTACGCTCACTGATCCCATCACATGCACACTGCTCTTTCTCTGGTTACTCACTCTATTTGACTGACAAGGAAATCTTTATTCGAGCCGACGTAATGTCATCATGAAAGACACCCGCACAACTCTAGATGTAACTTCTGAGCAGCTGAAATCAAACATTCCCCCCTCCTTCCATCTTCCAGTCGTCTTCAGGCAGGATCAAAGGCAGCAGTTGAATCTAATATTCCAAAATGAAACATCTTATGATCTAATAACATCTGAAATCAAGAAGAGAAAAAGGAGCGTATTTGTTCTGCTGTCGCTGTGATGCTCCACCACTGCCTCTGTTTTGTCTCTTTAAAAAGTATATGGCTCTGTATCGTCCGTCTGATACTGTATATCCAGGAAAAGGCAGTTTGAATGAAAAACACAGGATCGAATAAAGCTGTGTTGTGTGTCTATAAATCCGCTCGCCGTGTCTTTCTCCTCAGTCACCGCAGGTGTACGGATGTATTGTGATATTGTGATGCCACTAAGTCTCAAAAAAAGAGAGAAGGCTTTCATTAGGTAGCAAACGTCTGGCTAACATTAAGGATGACTGCTTTGGCTGGCAAGTCTGTGCAAATGACTGCATGACTCAAACCAGGCTCCTGTCATCCACAAAACATATTTTTGTCTCTGTTTTTATTTTATTTTATTTTATTTTTTTATAGAGACCTTTGGTTCACTATTTATTACGCCGGTCATTAGCTGGCTCACTCTCTCTGACCTTTATGGCGGAGCAGCGTTGTTCTGCTTTCTTTCTCCCTGCTGAGACTTTTTCCCACCGTCGCAACAAATTAAAATCACTCAGGCCAGGTGCCGTCTGTGCCTGCGTGATGCACATATATATGCATTTCCTCTACCTTGTACATCTTCATACATATCTGCGCTCGTTTGTGTGTGCGTGTGTGCGTGCGTGCGTGCATGCAGGAGGGCAATCTAACTTCAGTATGCAGCGAGTGGGCCCAGCAGTGCAAGGTTAATCCAGTGACTGTGTGCAGAGATCACTTGAGGCAGAAGGAGGCAGCTGGCGGTATGCAGGGACACGCAGACCTGGTGTCAAATAAAGACAGAATAAAGAGTCTGTCCTGTTCCTCCACAGTATAATGGAAGACAATAAAAGTTCAGTGAGAGAACGAGAGGGAAATGCAAAGAGGTGGGCAGGAGAGGTGAAGCAGATAAATGGGTGGCAGGAGGTTGATGGCAGAAGAAAAAGTACAAGATGTGAGTGTGAGGACGTGAGCACACAAATACACACATGCATGCTCGTCTCCACAAATTGTCTTCAGTTTGTTCTCTTGGCCTTAAGTCAAAGAGGCGGATCTTCAGTCGTTCAATCTGTCAAAAATCCAAGACGTTAGAGGCTAAAAGCAGGAGACTGCGAGCAAAAAGTAGAAATCAATTTGGAGAGGAAGCGGTAATGCGATGTCCTAACACCTCAGCGGCAATGTCTTTTGTCACTGACAGTGATGCCCTCTAATTTGAAGGAACATCGATCATTCAGAAGAGCTTTATAGAGATTTGGTGAAGACAGACACAGTCGCTTTGTCAAAAGATGCAGCCGGCATTATTCATCTAAACAATCAATTTCACTTTTCCTTTCCCTGACCCTCCTTCACTCTGTCTTTCACACGGGTTTTATGAGCTCATTGAGGAATTACTCATCCATAACCAATTGGCGCTCTAATGATGTCTGCAAGCCATGTCTCTCTCACATGCACACACACACACACACACACACGCTCTCTCTCTCTTCCTGCGATGTTTTAGCTGGAAGACGCTAAAGTCCTGTTAGACAGGTTTTAATAAATTGGCTCCTTGTGGACGTCACAGTTACACATCTTCAGATGGTGCTTAATCTCAGCGTAAAACTCAAGTTAGTGAGGCAGAGGGAACAATCGGAGTACATGGAGATACTGAGACACATCAGAGGCTCACTTCATTCTCCACAATATGACTGAAATGAAGTAATTCTGTTTTGGAAATTGCCAACTTATCCCAGAGGAAGTTAAAGTAGCACTGAAGAGTCTGTTTTCAATTTAAAAGTTTGACAGATTCAAGAGGCTGTTAGGCAACGGGAAATTCAATTTAGTTAAGTTGAATGTACTGTGTGAAAATTTTTAGTAGACCACGGAAAGCAACAGGGTGGCCCAGTGACGAAAGCCAGGAAGGGAAAGCCTGCGAGACTCGCCTGCAGCATGAATCTTAATCAGTGAGTGTAATGTGTGTAAATCTTTAGTTCCCTCCTCTGATGTACAGATAGATTTAACAGCCAGGGGCCCGATGGGTCGGAGGGGGGAGGCTGGGGGCTGGGGCTGGGGCTTCACCTGCAAATGTCACTGAAATAGATACCATCACAATCACAAAGAGACAAATGACTAGAGAGAGATGCAAAACTACTGCAGAGACACAAAATGGCCATAAAGAGATTCAGAGGTTCCACAAAAGAATGTAAAAAGACTATAGAGACAAAAAAGAGTAACAAATGACTACAAAGAGACAAACCTAACTACAAAAGATGCAAAACAACCACAAAGAGTCTCAAAACAGCTGCAAAGAGACGGAAAACAACCACAAAACCCAAAAGAACACCAAGAGACAAATGACTCCAAAGAGATGTAAAACTACTAAAAGATGCAAATTTGGCACAAAGACACTCAAAACAACTGCAGAAAGACACAAAGCAACCTCAACCAAACCCAAAAGAACACAAACAGACAAAGATGCTTCATGACAGCCGGACTCTGAAGCAGCTGGCAGAGCAGGTGACACTCTAAATAAGGAGAAATGCCTGAAATCGTTAGTTACAACAGGTATCACAGGTCCTGATGTTGGGCGCTTGTGTTGCTGAGATTACGGGTGGTTACCGAGGGTTTAAACATCAGGAGATTGGACGCACTGAAGTGAGTGAGAGGGAACCCTTTGTGCAAGATTTATGAGCCCTTTTATACAAACTTCATCAGAGGAAAGTTACGGCCGCTGACTGCAGACGTTCAGAATGCAATGTGCAGTCAATGTGCAGTGGTAAAGGGAGCTGGACGTCTCTGTTTCTGAAAAGCTCTAAAAATTTCATCAAATGTTATTATTTAATTTTTTTTTTTTTTTTTTGAAATCCTGTGAAAAGCCATTCACAAAGCTGACATGTTTTTTTTATTCCAGTGGCCAATGAACTTTAGGAACTCATTTTTAGAAGAAGCTGACCGTGAAATTCCGTGGCTATGATTAATGGATGTGGGCTGTATTGCTGGAAACAAAGTGGCAAAGTAATGAAAACATGATCAATTATTCAAACGAGACTAATGGAGTGACAGTTGTCAGTTATAGTTTGAAGATCTATACATATATATCGAATGCAGTGAATTTTGTATGAGATGCATATAGATTGAAATTTCTGACATCTGATTTTAGACACACTCAGTCCAGCATGGTCTTCAGTGAGAGACGAAAACGAACTCTGAGGGCTCCATCAGTCTGACAGCAAACACAGAGATACAGTATTTTAACGTCTGAAGCTACTTTCATGCCAACTGCATCCTTCGTCCTGTCTGTTTCTCTTCCAAACATCTGCAACTATAAGTGTAAGAGCTCGTTTTGAAATCATAAACTGTGAAATGTCCTTTGACTTTGATTGGACAGGAAGAAGAGAAACGTGTATGATATGCAGCAGTGCAAATGTTATAACATTGTGTTGATGTCAAAAGAGTTGAGAAATTAGTGTTTTCAGAAGCCAATATCTCAGACCGCCCGGTCTTCAAAGGTTGTTCGGATGGCTTGGAAAGCTTTTAAAGCAATTACTGGGACTGATAGCAGGAGAGGCTGTTCATTAAAGGAACCTTGAATCAGGCATCAGGCCAAAGACTCGTGATGATGGAAGAATTTTCATGTTTAATGCATTAACCAGTCTTCTCTCAAATTCACTATCAGACAAATTTCATGCAAATTACTGAAACACAAAGTTTTGACTGATACAATGCTCCGTTAGTTTAATAAAAAAAAACTCCTTATTTGCAACTTCTGTGCAGCAGCCCTGGCACATCCAAAGATGAACACTAAGCTTCTTTTCTTTTATTTTTTCTTTTTGCCTCAGCATCCCAGCCTGGCCCGACTCCAGGTGAGCGAGGAGAGTGAGTGAGTGAATGCCTCATTCTCAGTTGCATCATTCAGGCACATTTGCATCGATATCAGCACTCCTGAGCAAAGGTAGAGCAGCCTCTCCTCCCTCATTACTAATTTCCCCTGGGTGATTTTACTCTGCTACAAATGCTGCTGATGCATCTGCCACAGCCTGATCACGGACCGAGACCGACAGACCTGCAGCGAGATGAACAGTGATGAGGCTTCCTTTGCCTCAGGCGCAGACACTCAAACTGTATGATAACAAGCATTTGACGGTCATTTCATAGCATGCTGCACACTGCTTTACATACATACAATATGTGCAGCACCCAAATCACCACGGTGACATGTTCTCAGAGTTACTAATGACATTTGAACAGACGACTGGGAACCGTAAACACACTATACCCTGCTTCTCTAAATACCCGGAGCGGTCTAATGTCATGAAAATGCAGCACATGCATCTTTGGAAGTGACTGGAAGTGGTTCACCAGTCTGTCATGCAGCCCCAGCATGAGATTATGACCAATCTCTCACCACGAAGAACTCCACTGAACTGGTTTCCACAACTCATCAACTAGAAAATGCATCTGCGTGTGCACTTACAGGCATCTCCTGGACCGTGATGGAGGATGTGCTCCGTCAAAGTCTATGATCCGCAACATCACACCAGCGCTCTTGAATTATCTTGTGCCTTCTATAACAACAGCTACTAAATAAGATGATCTGCACTTTAAGCAGGACCTGAACGCTCTGTGTCATGACGGCAGGCTGCAGCATGCATGATCACACCCAACATTAAGAAAAAGAAAGAGAGAAAGAAAAGATATTGTTCACACATGTGGAGACATACAAAACTAATCAGCTGGCCAATTAATAATAATAATCGGTTTTGGTGCATTTTATCATTTTCATGTGGGCAGGGCGCATTTTAAGGCGTTTCTATGAAAGTTTGATGTGACCATAAAGACGCACGGTGCTCATCACAACGGACGTTATAAACAAAGACATTCAAATATTTCTCTTATGTTTTAAAATGCTCTGATCGACCAGAGGAATGAAGCTTAACTTCATGTACAGTAACAAACGCAGTGCTCCGAATGATCCACATTCACGGCGCACCACCCCTCACACCCGTATCAGAAATAGAAAATAATACAGTGTACTACAGATGTGCCACAAACACACAAACATAACGTCCACATGAAGACCGCTTCACACATCCCGCATCTCTACTCACCAAACAGGGAGTTGGCGAAGCCGTACCACACGCATCCTCCTTCTCCTATGAGCCACCGTCCCTGCGTGCTGGCCGCGAAGCTGAACGGAGTCCCCAGTACGCACACCAGCAGGTCGCTGATGGAAATGTTAATCAGGAGCAGGTTGATGGGCGACCGCAGCATCTTGTAGCGGCAGAAGAGCACGAGCACCAGCAGGTTGTTCAGAAGTCCAAAAGTGCCGATGAAGCCCAGGCACACAGCCACCACCAGGTTCCCTGTCGGGGTGAGGGTGGTCCGGTATGAGCCGCCCCCCAGGTGCCCTTCCCCGGCTCCGGCGCACTGAGCGCTGTTGACCCCCGCGCAGCCGCTCAGGCTCACGTTGGACACGATCATCGCAGTCCGGTGTCACGGCGGTGGCACACTGGGCGGCCACAGTGCTCTGAACAGCAGCTAATATGTCGTTGGCATTTCTTTTTTTTCTCTTCTTTTTTTTTTTAAGAGTGTGTGTGTTGAAATTTACAGACAAGTGTCGCTTCAAGCTGCAACACTTGTTGCTTTAGAAGAAATAGGACCAAGAGGAAGAAGTAAAGCCAAGCAGGAAAGTTGGATAATAAATAGTTTGTTTGTTGGGGATGTCAAAACTTTGTGTCTCAGTTCAGGGGGGGGGGGAGTTAGAAAATTAAAAAAAAAAAAAAAAAAAAGTTTGGTCAGGCTTTGCTCCACCGTGTGGCAGTCTACAATGCACACTCTCCTGTCTCTCGCACCTTCCCTCTCTGTCTGTATTTAAATCACTGTAGCCCGCTCTCCAGCAGCTGACGTCTGTGCAGGGGGAGGGAGAGCAGGGAGGGTGGGGTGGGGGAGGTGGGGGTGCACATGCTGGTGGTTCAGTGAGGGAAGAGATGGGCATGGAAATCCAGCAGCAGACCAATCAGACGATCATCAATGTGGCTCAGGAGTATAAAAGCCACCCCACCCCACTCCCCCACCCTGGTCTCAAAGCTGCTTTAAACAAAAAAGTCCACCTTAAAGTTTCAGGAGCTGCCCTCTTGTCTTTCTCTTTCTTTGGAATCACATCTGTGTCAATACAATCGAACAAAACTTCTTATGAGTGACGGGTCCCATTTGGTGTCTTCACTGTCTCTCTGTGTGTAAGGCAATGTAACACTGTGGGACCTGAGCAGGACCTGAACGTTACACGCAGTGTATTGACTGTTAGAGCAGATTATGATCCAGCTAATACGTCACAATGTCACTAACGCTTTTAAGTTTGTTCTATGATGTGAGTCGAGACCTTGAGCAAAAGCAACCAATACAAATGCTTGACCTGCTCTCTGGTGTGTGTGTGTGTGTGTGTGTGTGTGTGTGTGGTTGATTTGTCCCAGCCACCGCATTGTAGCGTTATTTAAAATAGTTTTCAGTTGCAGCAGTAAATAACAGTTTCTTGACACCTGTCTCACCAACATCAGCTGCACTTCAGTGGGTGTGCATTATACCATTGACAAACAACTTTCAGGAATATATAGCAGTAAATATTATACCGTTGATGTGATGATACACACTGCGTTGTAAGGGCACTGGTGAATTTGTGAAGTTTAGAAGCAGCGAATATAAAGTCTACTGTCTACAGAGGTCGACACATAAGATGCAGTGTGACAGATGAGAGGCAAGGACAGAGTGCAGGGCAGTGTCTGAGCATGGATCGAGAACTGGCCCGGTCTAACACTTTAAATCATGATTGATAAACACTATATATGTAACACCAATGAATCCACAGTATAACATTATATTATTGTAATAGCTCTCAGAAAAATCCCTTCTTATTTTCTATAACAGTTTTTCATTATTGGACCATCCTGAGCAGTTCTGTTTGTTTACTGGAAAACCTTATTTGCAGGTCTTTCCGTGGATTTTCTTTTTGGTGAGGGGCAAAGCAAAGTTCAATAAGCTTTAATAAACTGGCAAAGGTAGCCAAACAGTGGGAGCCATTTAATTTGACGGTTTTTCTACTTCACAAAAATTGTGACACAACCCCCTCACCAGTTCAGGATCTTCAGCACATGCAGGCGGGTACGGGGGAAGAGAACTCTTTCCATGTTTGAAGACATGACTCATGCAGAGGTGGTGTATCTTTCTTTCTCTGGCACGGACTCTGATCAAGCAACTGTCTTTGTCTATCACACTGAATTAAAGAAACTATTAAAAATTCATAATACAGACTTACATTTTAGGTCTGCAGCTTGTTTAAAAGTGCATATCACTGGAGGATGGCTTCTGTACAAAGCAGCCGGTTAAAGAAATAAAGAAAAAAGAAACTCATATGCATGTTGTAATGGAATTATAGTTTGAGCCTGCTGCGAAATACTTCTGATAACTTTTGTAATTTTTCAGCAGGCGGAAATGAAAGACGGCATTTATCTGTAGCACCCCCTGAATCAGAGGGATATGATCAGAAGTGCCTCTGGAGGGGGGAAACGAGGCGGCACATTATTCCCTTACAGGAAGAATTTGATTTAGCACCTCTTCCCTATGATGCCCAGGAGTTTTCCCTCTTGCCAAAGGCTGAATTGCAAGAATTGCTTTATAGTTATGCTCCTGCAAGCTTCTTCCTCTCCATGTAAAACGATGTAATGGCCCACAATGTGACACACTTGCAGATTCTGACCCACAGGTAAAAAAAAAAATAGTGGCTTGTGAGTAACTGCTCTCTAAAAACATGGACGACAAGTAACTTATTCAATATGTAACTTCCTTATCTGTATTTAGATAACTGAGGTCCTCTCTTCTGAGAAGGAAGTGTAAGTTGTTTGATTGGGACAGATTTAGACGGGGCACTATTCACATTCAATATATTTTTTGCAGTCCTGTCTGGATGAGAACATGCTTTTTTGGTACAAGATCTAACAAAAGACACATCATCATTTTTATATATTTTTTTTTTCCAGTGAAATAGAAATTCGAAAACGACTATTCCAACTAAAATTGTGGCCCACTTCGCAATTGCAATGTCTGCCAGAATAATCATTTTTCTGTATATCGTTCAGCCCTAATGCAAAGTATGCACTGCTCAGCCACAAGAGTAAAACCTGTAACTGGTGTTAAAGTTGTGGCTGATCAGTCTCCAGGATCTATGTGAAAAGGATTCGGAAGACAGAATCTCAGAAGTCTCGTCACTGTCACACATTCATTTTTAGTTTCTTTTGTCAAGACAGGACTTTGACGTAGCACAGAATATCAGGATGTTAAATCTTAGGAGAAGAAAGTACATACAAAATGTTTCAGACATGTGATTGGCACGGTCAACCCTTGGCACAAGAAAATATGCAAAGGGTTGACAAATGGCACCAGGATTCACTGAAAGGTTTGATGAGGATGAAAATGATGTAAATCATATGCAATGTCGTTCAGTCACCAGATCTCAACCCAACTGAACACCTATGGGAGATCTTGGGCCGTTGTCCCCGTCATCAAAACACCAAATGAGGGAATATGTTTTGGAAGAAGTTCATGCCTCCCAGCAGAGTTCAGAGTTACTCGTAGAATCTTTGCCAAGGAGCAGTGAAGCTGTTCAACACCTTGTTGGTTAATTTTTCAACCCTCTTCTGCAGGGATGCAAAAACATGCATTGCACCCTCAGTTTGATGTTTTCCGCCCTCAGTTGAAATTTGAATAATAAATGTGTCATCGTTTAATTGTGAGTGGGAACTCTCGCTAAGTGATACTACCATAGATACTTTCTTTTTGTCTTGTCTAAAGAGCTGGTTTCACTGATTGTTTGTAGATTCTTATAACTAAGAGTTAGAAGACTAAAGCGTAAGTTCAGTTTAGTGAGGGCAGAGGCAAGTGTGCGTGTGTTTATGAGAAAAAGAGAGAGAGCACAACAAAGAAACACTCACCTAATTAATTTACGGTTGGTGTCACGGACCAAGGACAAAGGTACAGAAACGCAGCAGCTTCTGCGAGCTACAAATACAAATTGTGTCATCCTGAGCAAAACTGCGGCTCCATCCACACGGTGCATAGCAGCCTTCACCCTATGCCACGGCACACGGCAGCCTCCGGCTAACAGCTCACCTTTCACCAGTCTACACCCAGCAAGGGGCATTCATGAACCTCACAACATGATCACATTTATCATCACATATTTTGGAATTGCGTCCACGAACGGAGAGGCCGTGTGCTTTCATCGGCTTGTTGAGTCTTCGTTGAGTCTTTGCCACACTTGGCCGGCGGTGGCGGTCACAATATCTGACACATTAACCGATTCTTCCTCGGCCGATTGAATAGGCAAGGGTGTGGATCGACTCCTGGAGACGGTTAATGAGTTCCAGTGGGATGTTTAGGTGACATGAAGCCATTGTTGCCAAGGAAAGCTCTCGTTGAGCGAGGTCCAGGAGCTAATCCACATCTCGCCTTTCATTTCTGACAATCAAGCTGAATGTTGCTTGAATCCTCTTCTCGTATGTGCTCCTGCAAACGCAGACAGCCCTAATGTGTTCACGAGAATGGGACAAACAGACAGACGGATGGACAACCCTTAAATTTAACATTTTTTAGAGTCTAATTGGAATTGAAAAGGAGGAGAGCTAAAATCTGATACTGAAAACCAGTGTGTGTAGCGTGTGGGAATAAAGATCAGCGAGAAAGAAGCAGAGAGAACTGTAAACATGACAAAAGTTTACAGGATTACACAAATAATTTGTGTAAGTTTTACGTTTGAGATGACATCGGTTTTACTTCAGTGAGTTTTCTTCTCTCAAATTCATATTTCTGTTTGATATCTAAGAAGTCCAGTTTGATTGTATTGACACAAATCAGATTGCACACCTCGTGTAACGTCCAATGAGCTCGTATTGATGCACGGTGCCGTTCGAGTTACTGAACGCAGTCTCTGAGGAGCAAATCACTCACAGCTCCACTGAGCAACTCTTTATTCTGGCGTGTCATGCATTTTAATTGCAGTTTTAAAATAATTAAAAATGATTTAAGAGTACAAAGCTGTGAGCATTAATTTCCACCATCAAGTCATAAATACAAACTCAGGATTATTTACTATACAAATGCCAACTAGGTATAATGAATGTAATGCACTAGATGAGTTAATGATGCTCACAGGTCAAACTTATGTTTTATACTTATATATACTATATTTTTATACTTTGGTCATTATTTGGCACAGAGGGACATTTCACATCACACAATGTTCTATATTTCTAAGTTGGGCACAAGACAGTGAGGCACTGATTCATGGTCTAGATTTAGCCACACACACACACACACACACACACACACACACACACACACACCCACACAAAAGGCTGAGTCACCCCCATGTTAAAGATGAAATTTCCAGGCAACTCAATTTGGTGTCACTTTGGATAAGAAGATGGTGAAGA